AACACACATTGCAGGCTTCTCGAGTGCTAGTTGCCGTCGATACATCGACGCCGATCCCCGCTTGACAACCACACCGACGCACAGGCTTCGCTGCGCTTCACCGTACACCATTGCACTGCCACAGCTTTCCGCACTGCTTACACGCACCGAAAGAGCTGCTGTAATCACAACACATCCGGTCAAACGCTGAAGTAACTCGTGCGAGAAGCGTTTGCTGAAAGTCGCACCGACCGATATGCTGTTTACGACGCCATGTCTTTTTCGACAACTGCGCAGCACATATGATGATATGATGATAAGAGTGCTCTTAGAAAGTACTTGCATTATTTTCACGGCGTGACAAAATTTTCTCTTATGTGCGAGGGGGGTGATATTACGAGCAGCACAGGCGTGCCAGATGAAAGAAGTGTTTTAGCAACGTCACGGAGTGAGCTGATGTAGAGGGTATTGCTTCACAACCAATCACAAGCTGGTCCTGTCGGCCAAGCCGTCGTCTGCTCGCGTTTGTCGTCTGCTTCGATCAGAGCATGCGACAGGGGATTCGCCTTCGCAACGCTATTATTCTCAGGTCAAGTGGTCGCTACGTCGCACAAAATACATGTCAGTGGCTCGCTCTACCTTTCAATGATCTTCGTGCACCAAGTTAAATGGCTGGCAATTGACGCAGGGATGAATTCAGCCAAGGTTTGCTCCAGAATCGTGAGGGTTTCCATGTTTTCGGTGTCATACAAAGTTACTAGGGTCATTTCATTCCGATTCCTTGTTATAATATCACGGTCCATATCGGTGTCTGAACAGTGAAGGTGAAGATGCATGATTTGTTTGTAGTTCCATGCGTAATCACGCGCACCTCTAATACGCTTTGGTTTACAAAGTACGCTTTGTTCCAGAATGTCTCAAAGTGTATCGACAGCTGTATTTCAGAGATCGCAACCATTGAACAGTTAGAGCCAATGAAAGTACACTAGAGCACAAACTTTAGGAACCACTCACTGAAAACTTCCTCTCATTTTTATTTCCAATAGCGTGCAAAGAATGTGCTCCCATTAACCTCTTTGGTGGTAATTTCCACCAATGAGGCAAGGATCTCGAGTCGCACTTTTAACTGGATGAGATGGGGCGCAACACAACAACATAACAAATAAGGTTGATCTTATGCCATGTCGCGTTCGAATGCACCGACCATTCACGTATCACATTGGTTTTCATCCAACCACAAATCTTTACATGCGTAGTTTTATGCCATTGACGCCCAATAGAATTCTTCAATTACTGCGACTTCGAACTTATTGGACGATGGGAGTTGTCAACACCATCCACTGCGTACAAGGGAAACAACACGCGAAGCTCAAAGCGCCGAAAGAATAAAAACGCACCAGCAGTCATCAGGCAGCCCTTGATGGGCGTGACTTAACTCAAAACCAGCCAGGGCACCAAAGTATACCGCTGCGGCAACAGGTTCTAAGTAGCCACATTGTTCTTAAGAGTGGTCCGGACCACTCTTAGAATTTTTTTTCAGCCATGCTGTTTTTACGCACAATTTCGCTTCGTGAATCCACTTACGAGCATTTTTTGGTGACGTAAGCAAATATAGCAACTGCATCACCATCGCTGACATGTTCCCGGGCAGTCACAGTGCGCTTTATTTGCAGCGGCCGATGTGACAACTATGGCCTCTTACGACGTTTTTTCGTTTCGTGAATCGACTTACGGAAGAAAATTTCTCTTGCGCAAAAATGTTTTCGTAAGTGAGTTTTGTGAATCCGGGCCCTGTTTCGCAACGGGCTCGACCATTATTTATAAAGCAAAGCGAACAATGTATGATTGATTACAAGATGTAGTGGCTTGATTTCGTTTGGCGGCCTGTGTCTTAGCCCCATTTAGTTTCTATAATATGCAAAACGCAGCATTGCTCCTAAATACCTGTTTGGGTTAAAAGCTCATGGCTGGCCTTTTACAAACGACTCATAAGAGCTCGTCATTTCGATTTTACTATGAATGAAAGGCCCGTAGCTTTGAACGGAATTTTCCCACAATTTTTCAGCTATATTCTATGACAATTATATTAGCGATCTTTCACAGAAGGCTGAGTTTATTGACAAAAACACTTTAAAGAAAATGTATCACGAATAACAGGTTCATACACGTGCACTACTACTGCATTGTCAGAACACCTGTCAGCGCTGGTTGCTTATCAGTCAGTACAATAACATTGCGTTTGTTTGTTTGTTTGTTTTTTGCACGGGAGTGGGAATTGTCCATGAAACACGATCATTCAGCAAAGGTGCTGGTAACTCCATTCTCTTCTGTTTTTCTATAGGCGCCTTCGAACATTTCTGTTCGAAGGCTCTGCTTCGTAGATGGCTTTGGCTCCTACATACGGCTCCTATGCGGAACTTGAACTAGCGAGAGACTTAATAATACAGACAGATGTACAGCACTAACGCCCCATTTTGTTCGCGCTGAAGGAACACTTATTCATTCTACCGTGCAATATGGTATATTTAGCACAGATGAATGGCACAAATAAAATAAAATCTATATTAGGACATTTACATTACGTCATGCGAATCTTGAGAGGCGTTACAGTTGGTGGCTGCGGATTCATTTTGACTGCAACACATATCTTAGGTGCTCTAGGCACTCTTAAATTTCAGCCAGCCCGCCTTGTTTTTCGTTTCGCCCATTTGAAACGCGGCCTCTACAGCAGGGTACCGAACCAATCTGGATCTAAGAAGCTTGTAATTAAAACATCTAATAAAAAATATCTCCGAAAGTGTGCATTGATAATGCAAGTTTTGAAGACGACATTCTTTCTCGGGGACCTTCGACGCAAATATTTTGGTCTGTTTGTCTGTCTGTACAGCTGTCTGTTTTTCTGCCCTATCAGTACCCTGACAAAAAAAGGGCACCATACGATACTGAAAACGGCCGACTCCATCTGCAGGATCCACCAATATTGCTCGAAATTCAGCGTTTATACTTTCGCAATTTGGTCAATTAACAATCAATTTTACGCATACCTGAGGCAGCACAACACGTATATATTCTGTATGTGCGTCATTTACTAGAAAAGGCATACATAAGTAATTCTAAGGACCATAGCGTTTATGACGCCGCGCTGACCATGCAACCCTTGCATGAAAATGCAAGTGTTTCCAATGATTTGCTTAGACGACATGGTGGTGGCACCTACCCACCGTCTCGCGTCCTACACCTCATCATCTCTGAGACGGGCGCACATACCGCTCGCTTCGTTTTCCAAGTTAACGGCCAGATAGCACTCATGTCTCACGTGTGACGTGATTTGATGCGCTCGTTCGCCTCCACTGCACGCCCGAGGCACTCTAACGCAGTGCCTACAGAATACTATTAACGGATTTTCTTCCGCAGAACATCAAATAAACATTTTGTGCACTTCCTCCAGACGCAACTCTATCGTCTTTCGACGACATTTGTAGTGTAACAAGCAGATACGGGGCAATTTTTTGTCAAACACTTTGCTCTGATAATGGGGCCTTTTTGATTAGACGCATAGTACGGCATTAGGTGATTCTTTTTGTTTTGAGGAGCTACCAATGTCCTTGGTGGAGAGAGAGAGCGTAAGAAAAAAATTGTAGGCAACCATTATCAGTAGTTTAGATCTCTGGCAGTGGCATTGAAACGTCGGCATTCTTGTGCCACGCTGTACAGCTTGACTTCGTCAAGCTGCCATAACGAGTCACTGAGCCTATGCAGAGAAAAAACCGTGCTTTCCATCTGCTCCGCCAGGTGCCGCAAGAATCCCAGCAGCTCACAAGAAAACAGTCCACGTTCAGTGAACTTATTCAATTGATTTTCGGGAATTTCTGTTACAGAACATTTATTCTTATTTTATGTAAACCAATGCAGCTTCGCCGCAGTGGTCTAGTGGCTACGGTACTGGGCTGCTGACCCACAGGTCGCGGGATCACATCCCGGAAGTGGCGGTTGGAATTTCGAAGGAGGCGAAAATTCTGTAGGCCCATGTGCCCAGATTTGGATGCACGTTGAAGAATCCCAGGTGGTCAAAATTTGCGGAGCCCTCCACGACGGCGTCTCGCATAATCATACGGTCGTTTTGGGACGTTAAACCCCACATATAAATCAGTAAACCAATGCAGTGGCTCAATGAATATTCAATTAACTTCTCACATGAGCCTGAACCATCGATTTCAAACCGGCTATATTTTTAGAACGCTATTTTTAGTATGCTAAAAATTGGGAAGTAAGTGTTTGAACGATATGCTTGTAAGATAAACAAGCATGTCATTCAGCGCTCATGCCATTAAAAGAAGGAAGCGTTCTTTTTTTCTGTGTTGTTATTTGGGGGACGGGGGCGAATCACCCTACGGTATCAGCTTGACGGTGTGCTTCGTCAACTGCTGCTGTCGTGACGGTTGATTAGCCTGAGCACAAGAGAGAGGTCACCTTCACTCGCCCAGAAAGAGGTCGCTACCTTTCACCACCACCTCATCGCTCACCGCGTTGCGAGACAGAACGAAGGGCGCGCGTTGACTACGCAAAGGCCCTTTTGCTCGCGAAAGAAAACACCCAGCGCGACCGTTCACCACCACCCTTTATATATAGACGCTGCACATTGAACTGAAAAGAAGTGCGGTGCTTAAATACTGTTGCTTGTAGTTGAATGGAGATTCGCAGTGTGCGAATCTCCATTCGCGCTATAATTAAAAGCGGTCTGCATCCTTCGCTCTCGCCAGGCTTCACGTTACTAGAGCTGAAATGCAGTTCTCTACTTGCTCTGACCAGCCCCACTTTCATAGCTAGCACTCGCCTTGCGCGGCATGCAGGCACACTCGGCGCGGCAGCTGCGCGGACTGCGACCGTCGGTGGGCTCAGCACACGATAAATTAAGCATGGAGGTTTTTTGTAATATTTCTCACGTTGAAGAGTTATTTGCGATGCTGAAATCACGAAAAATTGTTGCAACTATAATTATCTAAGTGAAAGAGCGCGCTCACCCAATAGTCTGGTTTATTGGCAGTGAAGTTAGCGACGACCGTGGCTGTGAGCACATCGTGCACGGAGAGGATGAAGTGGGCTGGCATATGACCGTCCGAGCCAGCCTGGCACTCAAGGTGCAGAGATCCCTCGGTCTGGTTCGTGATGGAGCAGTTCTCCACAGGCCCCGGTGGACCTGCTTCCAGATGCGTTGACACAATTGCCACAACAAAAATTTAAAGGTGTAAATTGGAGCACCGAACGATATACATTATATGGCGTAAGAGATGTGAAGGAAATCAAGAACGCGATAATCTCTTTATTTTCAAGTAATAAAAATTAGTTTGAATAATTCATTACTGAAACTCAAATATGGGCCTAACCATGTGAGTACTCATAAAATGAGTACTCACACGGTTTGGGATTTCACAGAAAGCAAATTTTCCACTTCCTCGGTATGCAATGTTAACGCTGTTAACACATTTTGATTTTGAAGTCTGTTACCCAGCATGTGCAAGCAAGCGCCACTACATTGCACATTACTATGACGTGCGAACGCAGTTCACTGTGCTTGGGGACCCTGCGTTCTGCATGCAGCCTAAATCGCAGAAATGAATCTTGGAGTCGCTGACGACGATTTACGTGCACCACGTGCGAATGACAGCAGATGAGGGCTGCCGCAAGTAATACGTCGATAGTGTCTTTCTACCCGCAGCATAAACTTATGGATGACGTCGACAAAAAATAACGTTTTTTTTTTCTGGAAAGTTAGCAAGGCACAAAAATGCAGATCTAGAAGTCCCTGTGTTCATTACGCAGTCACTTAGCTATATTAAGCTGATGCAAAAAAAGCTGTTTCCGGTGTTGATTCGTTAAATTCAACACTTCATGTACTTAGTAGCATATCCAGAGCCTCCACGTTCTAGCACGGGCTTCTCTTGATTTCGTCACCAATAAAATATTTCTGTGGTCAACGCTTGTCTCATGCTACCAGTAATTGTAAATAAATTCTGGGCCGCTTCTTCGCGATGACGACATAATACTACTATTTTTGGGCTACTACTACTACTAACACTAATACCATTCTGACAAACTAATAATAATAATATTAATAATAAAGCTTTTTCATATAAAGCAGTATTTGACGATGTTTAGAGCAGTACACTGATTTGCGAAGGCACGGCGAGATATCGCTTACAATGAAGGACCGTGTTATTGGCTATATAACCCACCTGCCTGGACGACGTGAAAGAGGCACGGCTGTCGCTGCTTTCCTATGCGGTTTGATGCAGTGCAGAGCAAGGTGCCGTACTCGGTGTGGCTGTGAGGGATGTATCGGGCAACGCTGCGTGTGCCCTCCACCCAGAAGCTGTTGAGGGGCCGCTGCTGGAGAGTGCTGTTGAAGCGCCACTCGAAGGTGACGTTGCTCGGGTCTGCTTCGACCTCGCAATGCACTTCGACCTCTTGGTGCCGCGATGCTGCATACACGACGTGCTGGTTCGCCTTGCACAGCGGGGCGTCTGCAGGGATGACAACGGAAGAAGGAGAGAATTGGATGAGAGGGATAACTCAGGATGGTTAACTTGGTACAACGAATCGGTTCACTACCCTGCATGGGGGGGGTAGGTGTTGTAGAGAGGATAGAGGGATAAGAGAAAAGCAACACAAAGCTGCACACACGCACGCGTGAGCACGCACGCTCTCACGCCCAATTCGAGACACCCCCAGAGCGGATGACTATAGGAGGTGGAGCAAGAAATTTTGTTGAAAGAATCCGGCATCCTCGATAGGGTGGATCCCACGCCAGGGTGAGAAAAATTGTTATTCACAATTTTGGTGACTTGCTCATACTCCGCGTATTTAGCCTTTTCACATGAGCACCATATAAACTTTCTTGAAAAATATGGCATTATGTACATTGTGTGGTGTATTACATAAAATAGATGACGGTAAAATTTGGTCTATGTGCACTTCTATTATTTTCTAATGCTTGGCGGCTCAGCGGCTTATATAGCAAAGGATCTTCTACGCAAGTGAAGCCCACCAACGATTTTTTTGCCCTAGGGATATTTTGAAAAACGTTGGTTCATCAAAACCATCTGTTCTAAGGTATCCGTGATAAGGCTATTCTCGTATAACTACGAGTTTTATTGACACTGGCCCTTACGCCCTTTAGCCACTCGCTCGCTAGATTCCGTGCCTACCGGTTGTGCCCTCGTGATCTCCGACGTCAGCGTAGCTATGGCCGACTGGGCTCGCCATACGTCATCTCCTGACGCCGACATCCGACGACAGTGTAGCTCTGACCGACTGGACTTGCTCTACGCCTTCTCCTGACGCCGACAAGAGCTCTCGCAAGTGGTGCCCCGTCCTCAGACTCCTGTGACCGTGTTTCCATCTTTCCTATCTCTCCTATCCTCTCGATATGTCGTCGCTTTCATGCTTTCACGCTCACCTCATCTCTCTTTCTCTCTCTCTCTACACCTTTATTCCTGTCCTTTTAATCCCTCCTCACCCCCATCCCTTGTGAGCTACTGCTGAGGTGTCACTCCCTGAAGCAGACATTTACGGGGCTCACTTTTCTTTTCTTTCCCTTCTTACAACATAACCACTCCCCCCCCCCCTTTTAGCCTCAGGAGCATTATTGGTCTATGTAAAACACGTGTCCTGGAAAATTGTGCAAAGTTGACAATAAAAAAATATCCAGGAGTGAGTGGTGCTCTTGTAAATAATTGGGAACTCCTTTTATGCTGAGTATGCACTAATCCATAGACCGGAACGTGTAGCGTTATCTGAGTCTTCAAATATATACATATATTTTGTGTCCCTGTGACTGTACTTCGCTCTATTAGGTGTTGTCTGAGTTGATGTAGTTTTATTTTCGGCATATTTGTTGCCTTTGACTTCAATAAATGCCAACTATAAGGTTATGCAACTGGACAGTACTTTAGGTTGTACTCCGAGTGCGATGTTATATTACTTGTTATGTGATTTGTTATGGTTTGACTAATTACATTATTTTGCTTAGCATGTGTTTTAAGCAACTTATTTTGAGGGCTGTGGTCTTCCCTATTCTGATTATTTTACAGCGGACAACTACAGCGTGAGGCTCCGTAGTTGTCCGCCGCCGCCGGTGTCCGTAATCACATCGCACAAAATTAGAAAAAAAAACATAGTACCATGGCGCCAGTGAAGCTCGTAGCCGGGTCCACTGGGTGCCAGCCGAATACTCTACCACTGAGCCACGCCGGCGCTTGGGACTTCTTAGCAAACTCGTTTTAGGCAAGCTTGATGTCGGGATCGCGTGAATACAACTTTTGAAGCGTTTCAAAACAGCGAAAAAAAAAAACGGTCTTCGCACAATGCCAATAGCGTAACCAGTGCGTCGTCCAATGATCAAACCCATTACAAAAGCTTGTTCTTGTTTACCTAATAACTGTGGCGCATACCCACTTCAGCCAAAATTCCTCATTATCATCCGCCACTGCATGAACAATTGGCACGAAATTTTTTACAAATTTTCAGCGAATACCACGCTTCTTAGAATAATGACAATAAACAGCGTAGTGAATGCCAACCGACTAGCCCAAAAATTAATTATTCATTCTCCAGTGAGTATCAAACAAGTATTCTTACAGTAGTTACGCAATATGTGTTTTGTAAGGCTCTGAAAGGCCGCTCTGCTAGCTTTTGCTGTGACTGTTCTGCGCCTTCCGCGCAGGCCTGGCATTTATTATTTTTCGTCTCTTCCGACTGATTTCAATGACAGATTTGTGGATATCGTATCTCGACGTGATTGGACCCTCAAGCCATACGATAGACGTGATGAGAAAACAGAAGTTGTTCGGGTAGAGGTTAAACAACAGAACACTGTTACTATACCACCGTTAAGCAGAATTGACTAAAATCGCGTCTTTATTGTTCTTGCATCGACCGAAAGCACGCTCCACTTCAAAAATACTTCGAATGTTTTTTCTAATAGGCAAGTGCAGGTAACTGAGATATTGTAGACCTATATTCCACCTGCCTTCTCTTATCCCGCCTGCCTTCTTTTGTCAAAAGGTTTCATATGCTAACGGTACGAACATTCCTTAAAATCTATGCATCACCTCGGCGGAGGTCTCAGTATGTGTTCATGAACCAGCAGATCTCATTTTTCAACCACCGATGTTCGAAATTACGGGCCCTCAAGTAATATTTTCACAGAAACGTTTGGACCCCTTAAGAGTTTACCTTTAAGAAATATTTGTGCTCAACACTGTAGATGAAATTAGGATTGAATTTGATGATATATGTTCAAGAATGCAAAAACATTTACCATATCAGTATATAAATGGCATTTTGAAATTCATCTGGCCAATCTAGAAACATCCATTGTGATAGCGACTGATGCTTCTGTTTATTAAGAAAAGGTTGGCGTAGGAATCATATCATCCTCTCTAGATTGGGCTTTCTCAATTTTATTACCCGACTTTGCCCCTATTTACCAAACTGAGCTACTAGCAATAGTCCTAGCATTGCGTAAACTGCCCCAAGATTTACCAGCGGTGATTGTTCTAACAAACTGTCTCTCGGTCTGTCTGCCTTAAGATCACCAACTTTTTCGTGTACCTTAGAAACTTTTACTCACACATTCCTATACATGTGCGACTCGTTCGACTGGTTCACGTAACAGGCCTTAGAGGTCTAGCTCTCAATCAGGATACAGATGCACTAGCTGTATCTTGCCTTGATGGTCCTGTTTTAACTATTTCGCCTATTTCAGAATATATCACAACAACACGCTTTGAAAAACGCACAACGGCCAATAACTTCACAAAACCTCTTTTATTTTCATCAGACTATTCAGACCTGAAGCTCCCTTGGAAGAACAAGTGGTGTTAATCAAGAAAGGAAGAAATAGTAATTACAAGGCCGCGTTGTCGACTCCCTTCATTTAACTATTGCCTTCACAGGTTGGGTCTGGTACAGTCGCCTTTGTCACTTTAATTTAATGAGAGTGAATCTTTGAAGCACTTTTTTTTTGTCATGCTGAAAATTCAAATGTCAAAGAAAAAATCCACAAGAGGAACCCCAACGGAAGTAGGACTTTAATCTTGACACTTCCAGTGATTCTTTTATTTGGCGCAGCCGCATTTTGCTTCAGCCACAGGAGTGTTTTTACCACTGTTACAAATTCTTTACGAGAACCTAAATGAATGGAATGCTAAATATAGATAACTTCTGTTGTCTTGTGTATATAATTTTTTTTCTTTTTTGTGTGTTTATTACGTTTTCTTCTCAAGGTTCTTTTATTTTTGTTTTGAAATCTAACAAATTTAAATTATTACCTATATTACCTAACTAATCAAACCCTCCCTATCAAAAGTGAATTAATTAAAAAGCAAGGCACCATTCAATTCATGGCCTACCCCCCTAGGTGGGCTGCGCCAAGGTGTTGAGGAACCAACCAATCATAAATTGCGCTACGCTTGTTGGTGGGTTGCGTAGAAGACCAGCAAACAGCTCTTCTTGACGCCCGTCATCAAATGTTGGAGTTTTTTACCTTCAGGTATCTCGTTTTCAGCCCGCTGAAAAAGGCAGGTCATGTCCTCCGCAAACATGGTGACGCTTTCATTTAGTTTTTTTATGCGTGCCTTGAAGAGCTGCAGAGCAGAATCACGGCGGTCGGTGTTTGCGAGTGTCCGAGAATTTGCTGCCGAAATACATACCACGAAATCAGCTTTGACTCGTGGTTCTCGAGGCACGGTGTGGTTGCTGGAGAAGTTCGAGGGTTATCGCCTCGGGACTAAGGCCCTGCTGTCGGCGACTGTAGTGGTGGACAGGAGTATCCACTGCAGGAACGGGTTGTGGTAATGGACTTGAAGTGCCAGGGCGCGGAGGTGTTCCAAGTCTAAGATGGAGAAGTCCAGCACCCTTCACCAATGTCGCGACGTGAGAATAACAGGATGCAGGACGACGATGCGACCAGGAAAAACAAGGCCTGTATTAATATAACAGAGCGGCCACTTCGATAGTCGCCTTCCTCGGAGAAACCGGGGTGCTGTCCACGCTCATCACATCGTCGTCCTATGTTCTTCTTGCCCGGCCTGTAGCCGTGACATCATGTATTACACACACACACACACACACACACACACACACACACCACACACACACGGCGCGCGCGCGCGCGCGCGCACACACAGTAGACTGTACCAAGCGCACACCTGCGAATAGTACACACAGGTTTTTAATTGAAAGCAAAAGTCGCATGGCCTCCAAGAGAAACGCCACGCGCTTGACATAAAGAGTCGCACAATGTCTCACAAATGACAGCGCATTATCTAGCGTTTGCTGTTTGCTTGATCGACGCCTCTGGAAAGGCAAGATTGTTTTGCTAGGTGGACATAGTTGTCATTTTAGAGCTGTTTGAATGTTCCCGTTTTGTTTAGCGGCGATGGCTGCACTATGCCGGCCTTTTCCGACGTAGTTTGAGGCCTCCCAAATGCGCCTCTAAATCGCGGAATGGTTTATTTTCGCCATGGCACCTGTCGAACAAAATACTTTAAGGAGACTCTTTCCACTATAAGGCATTTATGTGGTGTTTTATCCAAGAAGCTGAAATTATCATTGTGGCTTTGTAGTAAGGACACCTGCTTTCCACGCGAACAGCCCGGGTTCAATCCTCAATGGGAACGCAAATATTACAATATTTGCTTGTTTCTCGGTTTTTTCGCTGACGGCCGATTTTTCGCTCACCACCAATGGAGGCCGACGCGATGGCGCAATTTCTACGACACGAGCTCTATAATGCTATCGTGTTAATATTTCTTCATTCTTGATCCCGAATCAAGAACGCAGTGACAGAGCAATGCATACCCTGGTGGTACATTGTTCAAGTTTCACTTGTACCGCATAGCACAAAAACGTTTGCAGTAAACTTTGTGTACAAAAGAAAGAAGCAAGTATAATTTAAACATAACTTATTATGATTTTGCTTTACACTGGGCTTAAAAAGTGTTGCGAATCTCAAAAAGGCGATCCATCGGAAGCAGATCCGAAGCAAGTCCCGTACATCTCATGGGGACACAGGCACCGCTGAAGGAGCCCGCGTATAGACGCTAGTGCAAGATTTTTCTTTAGGTAATATTGTATGAACTCTATGTCACTACCACTCTGTGACGTATTTACTCGAGTTGCTCCTGTGGGAAGACGCGGGCAGCTTATTTAAATTGTACAGAAAGGGGTTATCAAAGCGCGTTTGAATGGTGCATTTTTGTTGATTGCATTTCTGTCCGCGCCTGAAGAATTCGTTTCTTTTTTGCACCTAAGCGACACCTGATAGGTAACGGAAGCCCAGCTTGTGTTTGCTATCAAACAGTAATTCCCATTATCCATTCATACCATTATGGGTTACTGCAATTTACACCACGACAAAATTTTACGCGGTAAGATTACGATTTTTATGGTTAGTGGAGAGGTACCAAAGGTTGTTTCGAGAACTGTGCAAACTTTCACATAAACGTTTTCAGTCTGAATCAACAATGTGATATGTTTAACTTCTTGGTGATAAATGTAGCAACAAGCTAAGTGACCAGATATATCTAATAACAATGTGATAGGAATAACTAACGAAAATAATACGTGTAACATTAAACAACAAGAAGAGGGCAGACTGGATCGAAGGCAAAGATTGGCCTCGTCTCTGCATGTTTCACTGCAAGTATCGTCGAAAGACGATAGTCATGCGTGTGCAGAGAGTGAACTAAACGTTTATTTAGAGGTTCTTCGTGAGAAAATTGATGAATATTGATCTAGAACCACTGTGTTGAAGAGTCTCGATCCGTGCAGCGAGGCAAACGAGCGAGACGCGCGCACATGAAGGCTCTCTAAGGCACGTTAGACACGAGCGACATCTGGCAGTTATCTTCGAAAACGAAAAAAGGCGTGCGCACCCACGGAGAAAGATGCGCGTTTGTCTCGGAGGCGATAAGGTGTAGGACGCAAGGCGACGGGCCGGTGCCACCACCGTGTCGTCTGAGCAAAGCGTGGAAACACTTGCCTTTTTGAGCATCCTGTGGCACTCTCAGCGCAGCGTAATAAATGCTACGGTCCTTAGAACTACTTATGTGAGCCTTCTCTAGTATAAAGGCACACATAGAATATATCGGCGTGTTGTTATGGTGCGTCGGATAAACGCAATAACTGCTTTTCAATTGACAGTCGCGCAGGTATGATCGTTGAAACTTGAGCGATACTGGTGGGCCACGGCGGATGGCGTTGGCCGTTTGAGGTAACTCTTGGTGCCGTTAGAGGCATCGTTACGGCCGACACGCAGGAAAAGCGTTACAGAAAGACAGACAGACCATAGTTTTGACGTTAAAGGTGCCAAAAAAGACTATCGTCCTTAAAGCCAGTATAAATGATATTTCAAATTAAGTGAAGAAATTGACATGGCTGGCACACGTTGCACATAGGCATGATAACCACTGGCTATCAAGGGAACTCACTAGATTTCCAGAGAAGGCAAACACACAAAGTGTATACCGAAAGTTAGGCGGGCTGATGAGAAAAAAAGTTCACAGGTATAACGTGGCAACAGAAAGCACCATGCTGGGCTGTCTCGCGGATCATGGAAGAGGCATTTGCCCTGCAAGAGGAATACTTAGGCTGACTATCATGATGTTGAAATAACAATATCAGAATAGCTTGTCTCGCTCAGCTGAAAGCTTCAGCTATAAAGCAACTTAGGTGCCCTACGTACCATGTTGCAAACGAAAGTTCAGGCGACCATAAGAGAGCTTTAGCTCCCTGCCATAAACTTCCATGCCGATAAGTGCCAGTGAAGTGAAAGATGAAATAAAGTTACATTGTACCCCCAACTATTCGAAGGAAACGCTTGCCGTTTGAGGCTTTCCATCAAACCACCTTTTACGGTCGACTGCGTTCGTTTGTGTTAGTTTTTCGCCTTTTTTTATCTTCAACACAAACTTCAACGTTATGGTACCTGAAGGCGCACGAAAAAGGTGAGACCTGAAAATGGAGTAGCAGAGTCTCGCTGTACTCCGAATAACACAATACACCCGAGTTCTGGTAAAAGGTCACAGCACTCACGCTTTTTTTTTTGATGCTGAGATGTATTTTTGACGTTTCACTCTCTGGGGCTCCTTTATGTGATGCCGAGCCAGACTCCCAGACTTCGTGTACTGCAAGGAGCATGAACGCAGCAGCAACAAACATATACGAGTCTGCCGCAGCATGGCTTTGATTGATGGCCTGCACTACGAAAGGAAGTTTCAAAACGAACGTTTCAGACATTTGAAAGGGAGCGAAAGAGTGCCACGAAAGCGCTTGTTGACGAGCGAGACAGTCTCTCACGTTCTATTACTCACACTTCTCGTCTGTGCTCAAGCAACCAAAATCAGTCATGAATATCCAAGATCATTCAAATGTTATGTTCTACGATGTCAGAAAAGAAAAATAAAGAAGTGACAGCCATCATGCGCATATTTTAAAAAGATATAACCAGATTCGCTACTGAAAGAGGTCGTATATTAGTGCATATGCAGTTGAAATAAAATAGAAAATGTGGGTGAAATCTCATTTGAAGTACGACATATTTTTTGAACGACCAATTAGTGCAGAAAATAACCAATAGAAAATATGCATAGACACCGCATTTCGAGAGCGTTTGTCAGCAGCAGTTGTAAGGCTTCGTTTCCATAATCCCCTTCTGTCATTCAGTCATAATTTGTGGACCCATGCATTAGGATATAAAATCTAGCAGAAATTTTAGTTTGAATTACGAGTTTTGAGGTGGAAGCTCGAAGTTTCATATTGTTACACGTATTTATTTATTTATTTATTTATTTATTTATTTATTTATTTATTTTTACATACTGCAGCCCAAATTGGTATATCGCAGGAGTGGGCCTGTACTTCTATGGCTTCCACTGTTTTTATGAATATGAACCCTTCAACAGAACATAAAACATATTCAGCAGACGTTTGTCAGTTATTTCCCATGGCTTTTGTGCAGAGCACGCAATATTAAGCATTAACTGATCTTT